TGTCGGCCTCGATTCACACACTGCCTGCTCGTCTCATATAGCGCCATCAGATATTTCCCATTTTGGTGGCGAGTCAAAAATGCCAGCTGTTTTCATCGGACTGCTGTAGGCCCAGTTGGAATTTGCTCTTTTCAGGCATATGCGTAATGGCTTTCATCCATTGGTTGCATCTTTCTGCTTTTTTTCATAAAGATGGAACGGGAAAGGGAGCTGTGTTTTAGCACACAGCTGTGTGCACAATTTCATATTATTGATGTGTTCGGGCAATCTTCTACCGATGTTATATCTCACAGGCGAAAGCGAAATGCATGGAAAATTGCTTGCGTATTGGGCAGTTCAAGCCGACACGTCATCGCGAAGAGTTCCGTGAGGTGTGGGCCGATGGCTGGGCATTCGAGGAGATCAACAAAGCGCAGCAGAGGATTGCAAATGAACGCAATGAAATAATCAACGCCTCACAGAACCTCAAAAAGAGGAAACCACCGGGCAATCATCCGCGAGACTTTAAAAGGTATCCGTTCTCGTTGGCTAGCGATTTTAAAGTTGGCCGCAACCGCCTGCTGTGAATTTGCTAGGAATGCGTTCGTTTTTGCTCGGTCACACTCATCCGTTGCTTGAGCTGATTCGCGTGAACGCTCTAGGAATTTGAAATTGATGTATGACCTCAGGTAATTTCCGGCTCGTTAGTTCTAGTCAAAATCGCAAAGGCAAACGATGATTGGACAGAATTGCGCATGAGACTTGCATCAAATTGCATATTGTCTCGTTCAGCTGTCGCCATTATAGATTTGCTTGCTCGGTTTCAATTTTGCACTGAGATATGCGGCATCCCATTGTGTAGATAAATGTCATGAAAGTGCATTTTTCTGTTTTTCATCTCCCTATTCGGTCAGGAAAGATGGAATTCCTGGAACGGGTTAGAAAATGATTGCCCTTTTTGGTTAACTCATTTGCTGAGTTGTGTTTAGAGCGCTGTCTGCTGGTTCGGATGGTATGACGCCTTCCACTTCCACAGTATCGATGTCGAACTCCACTTCAATCGGTGATGATCTGTTCGCAAAACCAGAACTTCCCAAAGAACTGACACATCAGGAGTATATGGAACAGGAAGAAATATATCGCTTACGCAGGGTGGTGATTTGTGTCCTTGCTTTTTTATGCTCAGTAAGTTAGGCGAGTCTCACGTCGCTGCTGGGGACTGTAAAATGGAGGGAATTCTGTGTTTTAGGCCCGCAAGCCTAACATAATGTCTTTGCTGGGGCTTTTTTGTGGTAGTTATTTTTAGTGCTACGCAATGTGATAAGCAGTATCGCCTGGGCTGTTACTAAAGGATTCTCGATGCTACTGATGTGTACCCATATGCCGAACAGTGCAGTGCTAGACTGTCCTGTCTAGTGGGGTTTATCCTGGGTTTATTTTTTTTTTTTTTAAATTTGCGTCACAACAATCTGGACCTTTTTTATTTCCCTTCTCTCATTAGCTTCTCGAATTTTGGGCGGCCGCCGTCCTACCATTCCTATTGCATGTAGGGTTGGTGCGGCCCCTGCCGCCTAACACCCTTCGCTAATTGGGCCACTTAACTGTTTTCCTCACAGGGCCTTTTAGGCTCGTACTGCTTTTTGTTTTATCTCCTCTTTGTACCCGCTCGACCTACTGCAGGTGCATACACATGTCGATTTTGCAACCACTGGAATGAATGATAGTTTTCTTTATCGTACTGGATAGGCTAGAACAAATAACACGCTCTGCATATTGGACTTCCGCGTGATTATACATAGCTCATGAGGCTCATTCGTGGAGAGTTCGGCTTTTTATTGGCTTTGACACGGTTGCACGTTGTGTATTGGTTCTCCATCTTCTGAGTGATTTGTTAACTATGGTTTTCATGGTGTATTTATATCAGGAGCATTTAAAAAAGGAAGAATCGGAATTGATTGCGGAGCGTGACCGCCTGGAAAGGGAGCGCAATTTGCATATTCGTGAATTAAAACGGGTTCAGTACGAGGAGGCAAGCCGATACAAAGATCATGAATTGCTCAACAGGCGCTACTTGCTGCTTTCGCTTCTCGGCAAAGGCGGCTTCAGGTTATTCCTTCTTTTAAACTTCATGAAATACAGCCATTTGATGAATAAATAATGGTATGAATGGGTGGGTTATATTGCTCGTTTTGAAGGCAATTGGCGCATGAGCAAGAGAAAAGAAACGACCATTCAGGTGGCTTTTTGAAGAATAGGGCGCGTAACCTAATAGGTAATAGATATTAACGAGAAGTATGCAAGTGAAAATCAAAGGGCCTGGCATATTTGCACAAAGCTTATTGAGCATCCCAGATTGAGATTCAACACAGCAATTTTCTGGGCTGATTGGGTATACGGCTAAGCAAGAAGGCATGTAAAACTTAACGTCTTCGTAAATCTGATACATTTTTGGAGCTTCACCGTGTGAAATTGTCATTTAAGCCTTCGAGGTGCACATATAATCAGTGTTGTCTTTAACAGAACCTAATCTGTACCACGCAACACAGTATGTGTAACATGACCAAGCGTAGTTTACAAACAAAAAATCTGCTTTTTTAGCATATCCAATAACGGACTGATGTAGGTTGTGGATACCAAGCAATGATGTTTTTTCTCTCGGCCGTTGGCAGCAATTTTATCGAAAAAGGGCTTGAAAGGTGCCAGTACAATGCAGACAGTAAAGTCGTACTTTCATTGAAAGCAAGACTGGCAGCTGTGACTTAGTGATGGCCGGTTGGAATAGTGCTAAAGCAGATAAGGAACAATGCATAACTAAAAACGGTGATATACATTTTACTCAAAGTTAGCACTAATTCTTGCTGTTTGGAGCAGGAGGCTACGCCAACTTTTCAAAATACTTCATAATGAGATAAATTTAACAGTATTGATCGTCTTGAATAAAAGGGCTAATTTGCAGCGAGGTGTGGCGCGCTTTTGATTTGGATGCGAACAAGTACGTGGCATGCAAAATCCATCATGTAAATAAGGAATGGAAAGAGGACAAAAAGGTGTTCTTGTTTGTATCTTTTATTCATTTTACATTTGTTAGTGTTAAGTTGATATTCACAATGACATCCATTTCTGCTTCACCAGTTGTGGATTGATTTGCCAGTAATATTATTTTTTGTGTTTTTCTTACGACACTTTGTTGAAAAATCCCTCCAAAGAGAAATGCTCGAAACATTCAGTGACGCTTCAAGTACTCAGTGGTGTTTGTTGAGCACACCACTTGCTCCTGAACGCTGTCATTTCTGGCCCTCGGTACTTGTACCCTACCAATTAGAAGCATTGGCTATACTGTATGTAGATATTTGAAGCTTATTTCGTGAAACTCCCGTCATTTTTGTGCATCGAAGTTGATTTGTTTTTTTCAATGATTATTTTTGCAGGCAAATTATGTGAAGCACGCGATGCGTGAGAAAGATATCCATAAGACATTGGACCACCCACGAATTGTTCGCTTGTTCGATTTGTTCACCATCGA